CTTGGTGCACTCCACAATCCAGTCAAATCAGCCTTGTCACCTTGCCTTACCGATGACGTCTCACCTCCACTTCCACTTCTTGGAATCCTTAGTTTCCTTTAAAACTCAGCTCAAATGCCGCCACCTACACGGGACCTTTCCTGATACCCAGGCTGCCAACATTGCCTTTGATTTCGTGTATATGTTTCCCCAGTAGAATGAGGTCTTTTAAAGTGAAATTATTTCTAATCAGCAAAAATCCCCCTACTCTTCTATCCCCACCACCAATGAGAAAGAGAAGAACACAAAACCCCTATTACAAATATGAATAGTTAAGCAAAACATTCCTGCATTGGCCATCTGGCCCCCAAAATATGTCTCATTCTGCACTGAGTCCATCACTCATCGAAAGGTGGGTAGCAGGTTTTATCACAAGGCCTCCAGCATCACGATTAGTCATTGCACTGATCAGCATTCTTAATTCTTTAAAGTTGTTTGTCTCTACAATGTTGTTGTCATATGAATTATTATGGTTCTGTTTACTTCACTCTGCATTAGTTTATATAGTCTTCCCAGGTTTCTCTGAAACCATTCCTTTCATCATTTCTTCTAGCATGATAGTATTCCATTACATTTATAAGCCCTAATGTGTTCAATCATTCCTCAATTGATGGACATCCTCTAAATTTCCAATTCTTTGCTACTGAGAAAGGAGCTATAAATATTTTAATACATTAGGGTTGGTTTTTGTTTGTTTGTTTGTTTTTGCATACAAAGCAGAGGCAGCCAAGTGGTACAGTGGATAGAGCCCTGGACCTCTAATTAGGAAGACCTGAGTTCAAATCTGGAATCAGATGCTTACTACTTGGGTAGGTCACCTGACCACTGTCTGCCTCAGTTCCCTCATCCATAAACTGGGGATGATAATAGCACCTATTTCCCTGGGTTGTTCTGAGGCTAAAATGAGATATTTGTAAATGACTTTGCAAACCTTAAAGGGCTATATAAAAGTGCTATTATTGTTATTATTTTGCATAGGACTAATTCCTCCATTAATCCATCTTCCTTCTTATTTTTTCCTCTTCCTTCTCCCCTTTTCCTTCTAGTTCTCTGATAGGTGAAATGTATTTCTGTATCATCTGTGACTAGTTCAGATGATAGCAATGTTCAAGTGTCAGCCACTCTCCATCTTTTCATTTGTTTAGATTTCTGCTTGTGAACTGTGATGTGAGATAATTTTTCCCAACCTTCTTCCTTTCTCCTGCCCCAGTGTCTTCCTCTTCCTTTCCTTTCCTTTTCTTTTAAGATCATTGAAAAAGAAAAGATCAAGACATAACAGAACCATTCCCAGGCTCTCTGTCTAATTAGACTCCTTCTATGACTCTTGACAATGATGGGGTTCAGAAGGGACATGTTATCATCTCCTCATATTAAAATGTGAGCAGCTTTGTCCTTGTGTAGGCCTTTATGATGCTTCATTTGTGTTTATCTGTTTATTTTTCTCTTGATTCCCATATTTCCACTTTAAGTCTTCTTTGGAGCTCTGGTCTTTTTGTCAGGAATGCTCAGAAGTCCTCTCACTGAAAATTCATTTTTCCCCTTATAGGATTATATTCAAACGTTTTGTTGGGCAAATTGTTTTTGACAGTAAGTCCATATGCTTTGTCTTCTGGAATGTCATGTTCCAAGATCTCCACTCTTTCAAAATGGTGCCTGGTAAATCTTGTGTCATCCTGATTGTGGCTCCTCAGGACTTGAATTCTTTCTTTCTGAAAGCTTGTAGTATTTTCCTTTGATCTAGAAGCTGGATTTTGGCTATAATGTTGCCATGACTTTTCTTTTTGCAGTTTCTTTCAGAAGGTGACCATTGGATTCTTTCTATTTCCACTTTGCCATCTTATTCCTAAAGATCAAGGTAGGTTTTGTTGTTGTTGTTTTTTAAATGGTTCCTTGAAATATAATGTCCGGGCTCCTTTTCTTTGGTAATGGCTTTCTGGTTGTTCAGTGAGTTTCACTGTCCTGTGTACTATTATTGTGGCTCTGCAGTCCACACTTAAATCACTTCATACAATTCTACCAATGTTTCCCTAAATTCTTCTCAGGTGTCAATACATTCATACAAAGAATAAATGTGGCATAGCTCTGAGTGCTGAATTTAGAGTCGGGAAGATCTGGGTTCAAATTCTGCCTGGGACCCTTACTAGTTGTATGATCATGGACAACTCACTTAATTCCTCTCCGCTTTAGGCAACTCTCTAAGACAATATGGCACAGACCTGTGATCTCCATTGATAGAGAGGCCAAGTGATCTGTGCTTACTCTGCTGAGACTGAGAAGGGGGTTTCTGGCTGCCTTTTTCTATTTTCTGAGCTCAGGTCAGAGATTAGCCATTCTATGATGGACAGTTACAATATGAAGAGAAGGGAGAAGGAAATAAGCACTTATTAAGTGCCCAGGGTAACCCAGCTAGGAAATGTCTGAGGTCAGGATTTAAACTAAGGTCTTCCTGACTCCAGGGCCAGAGCTCTGCATACTATAGCACCTCCTAGCTGCCTTTCCATGTTGCTCCGAATTTCTCATGGTACAATAATATTCTCATACACGCATATACTACTTTATACAGCCATTCAGCACTTCTTAAGCACATATTTTGCTCAAGATGTTGCTACCAATAACGCCGTGATGAATGCCTCTGTAAAATGGATTTTTCTGTTGAAATGAATATAGGTTTAGTTACTTGTTTTTATTTTATTTCATTTTTTGTTGTCATTGGTCTCCTTGGGTTACAAACACTGAAATGGAATCTTTGGATCAAAGTGCATGAACTTTTTTTTAACTTTTCTCACAAAATTCCAAATTCTTTTCCAGAATTGTTGGACCAGTTCAATGCTAATCCAGCAGTGACTGATATGCTCGTCCTTATTATACCCCTCAGATATCTACTCTTCTCATCTTTTACCTATTGTGCTAATTTGTGAGGTGAATCCAGTTGCATTTCTGTTAATCATTTCAAATTTTCAAATGATTACTGTTAGTTTGCAATTCTTCTTTGGTAAACTGTTCATATCCTTCGATCACTTGTCTTTAGAGGATGACTTAATCTTGCAGCTTGCTTTCAATTCCCTATAGATTTTAGATATCAGAGCCCATTAGCCCTTCAAAGAAATTCTAAAATTAATTTCAAAAAGAATGTTAAAATTGTTTTTACATGTAATTGGAAAAATATTTTTTAAACTATTAAGTTATTGTTAATTCCACTAAATCCTGTTACATTCCTCTTTTTTGGGGAAAAACAAACAGCACTTGGTACCTGCAGCTGGTGCTTGAAACAATCCAGTCTTCATATTGTTAAAAGGAAAAAAAAAATCTTCATTAGGGATTCATCCTGCTTAAGTAAGGCAAACTCAGGAAGAGAAATTTAAAAGGGAGTCTAATAACAGACCAAGGCAGCACAAGTTGGTGGACCAGCATGGATTCAATCTGTGACCACCATTTTATGCAGGAGAGAAATTTTAAACAAGGTTTTCAAGTGGAGTCACCCAGACTGACTCAGCACAAATTTCAATGGCATCCTCCACAACTTCTCATCCTAACCTAGATCCAGAACATAGGACCTTGCTTTTTAAAGAATAAACCTAGGGGCAGCTAGGTGGTGCAGTGGATAGAGCACCGGCCCTGGAGTCAGGAGGACCTGAGTTCACATCTGGCTTTAGACACATAACACTTACTGGCTGTGTGACTCTGGGCAAGTCACTGAATCCCAGTTGCCTCTCCAAAAACAAACAGAACCCTTTTTTGTTGTTGTTCAGTCATTTTTAATCAGGTCAGACTCTTTGTGACCCCATTTGGGATTTTCTTGGCAAAGATACTGGAGCGGTTTGCCATTCCCTTCTCCAACTCATTTTACAGATGAGAAACAGAGGCAAACAGGGTTAAATGACATGCCCAGGATCACACAGCTAGTGAGTGCCTGAGGACAGACTCCAGACCCAGCGCCCTATCCACTGTGCCTAGGTATCTGAAGGTTTTCACTTGACCGAAGCCACTCCCCTCCTCTAACTTACCTAGCCAAACCAGATTTACTGAAATAATAATGACCATTCCACTGTCCTAACTTAGCTCAGATAAATGACTGTTTTTCACCAGCAGCACTCTGATTTCCAGAAATGGTTGTCACTTTCTCCCCCATCCTTCCCTTCCTCAAAGAGAACTCCTTCCTCTATGTTATCACTGTGACCTTCGGATAAAGTGACACTTCCTTGAAACAACCTTCTTATATTATACTAGGAGTCTTTTCACATTTACTCATTACTTCAGTATATGCAAGGTTTTCTTTGTGAGAATTTCTTTCTTTTACTTCAAGGGGCACATTTGTTGAAGTTTTGAGGTGAAAGGACGCTAGACATAACCACTTACTCCTTACTTCCATCCCTTCGATCTGAAGGAATGCCATCCAATATGCATTCCCTAATGCTTGATCTCTGGCTTTCCATATTCAGTGCATTCGCAGAGTTTCTGTTTAGGAGGAACTTGGTGATGTCAACTGAGACCTCTCCCTCAGTAGTAAGCTGCTTTAACATTCAATACATTTATAGGGTGCATTCCACCCACCAGGAGGAATTCTCTGATGCAGGATAAGGGTCCTCCTCACACTGAAGGCTTTCCCACTTTCATGGAATTCAGAGAATTTCTCTCCACTGTAAATTCTCTGATGTTGAGTAAAGTTCGAACTGACTGAAGGATCTTCTACAATCTTTATATTCATGCTGTAGAACAGAGGTATTACATTCTTGTCCTGAGACCCTCAGGCAGCGTGGGGCCCGCAAAACTGCCTGAACTAGATTAAAATCAGGAAATGTTTTAAATAAAAATATAATACAATGTGAATGTTAACTTGTGGCTTTCTAAATCACTATGAGGCCTTTGGGGATCTGCTTCTATTTGAGTTTGATGCCACTGGTATAGGTATAAAGAAAATATCAACATTATACTTTGTACTTTAGGCACAAATCTGCCAGAAACAATTTTATTAAACAGCATTCTAAATCCAAGTACTTCTATCCTAGAGAGAAAAATGTCCAAACTGAAATAACTCCTAGGACATATCTCTACCCCAAAACAATTTTGAGGTAACATTTGTAGGAATCTTGAACAAGGAAAAGGTCACAATATTAAAACAGGGCTTTTGCTGGGAGGGGGGGTCAACATTCTAGAATAGTCACTTAGTCTTCAACTAAACTACCAGATTCCTTCCTTGACCACTTCCCTAAAGAACTGAAAGGGTTTCCTGACTATATTCCCCATCTTAATCTTTAAATGGAAAAGAGGTCACGTCCCTTCAGTGGGTCATAGCATCAGTCACTTCAGGGGTGGGGAAGGCAAGGGTCACAACTAGACAACAGGGATGTCTGAGGTCTAAGTTTGGTTACTATCCTTGATCCTTAGCCACTTTTCTAAAGGGAAAAGTCTTGAAAGGACTTTAGACTGAGAGAAATATTATTTCTTAATATTTTCAGTTGAACTAAAAAAGATGCTTCCATAAAACAGCTGGACCATGTATACCAGTATGTACCATGAATTGATTCACATCCTTTAAGGGCTGAGACCCAACTGAAGTCTTTCCCTCATTCCTTACACTCAGTGTTTTTTCTCCAATATGATTTTATTGATGTTTAATAAGGGCCGAGGTCTGGATGGAGGCTGTCCCACATTTCTTCATTCATAAGGTTTCTCTCCAGTATGAATTATGTGATGTCGAGTGAGGTCTGATCTCTGGATAAAAGCCTTCCCACACTGCTTACATTTGTAAGGCTTCTCTCCAGTATGAATTCTCTGATGATGAGTAAGAGATGATCTCTGGATGAAGGCCTTCCCACACTGCTTACATCTGTAAGGCTTCTCTCCGGTATGAATTCTCTGATGATGGGTAAGTGCTGCTCTCTGGATGAAGGCCTTGCCACATTCCTTACATTCATAAGGTATCTCTCCAGTGTGGATTTTCTGATGTTCAGTAAAAACTGCATTCCAGCGAAATGCCTTCCCACAGTCTTTACATTTGTAAGGTTTCTCTCCAGTATGAATTATCTGATGATGTATGAGGGCAGAGCTCTGCCTAAAGGCTTTCCCGCATTCTTTACATTCATAAGGTTTCTCACCAGTGTGAATCCTCTCATGTTGGATAAGGCCTGAGTGTCCACTGAAGACTGCTCCACAATCCTTACATTTGTAAGGTTTCTCTCCAGTATGAATTCGATGATGTTGAATAAGGGATGATCTCTGGCTAAAGGCCTTCCCACACTCCTTACATTCATAAGGTTTCTCACCAGTATGAATTCTATGATGTTGAATAAGGGATGAGCTCTGGCTAAAGGCTTTCCCACATTCCTTACATTCATAAGGTTTCTCAACAGTGTGAGTTCTCTGATGTTGAATGAGGTATGAGCGCCAACTGAAGGCTGCCCCACATTCCTTACACTCATATGGTTTCTTTCCACTGTGTATTCTTTCATGTTTAATAATGTCTGAGCTCTGGCTAAAGGCCTTTCCACATTCCTTGCACTCATAAGGTTTCTCTCTAGTGTGAATTAGCTGGTGTCGAATAAGATGTGAGTTCTGCCTGAAGGCCTTGCCACATTCCTTACATTTATAAGGTTTCTCTCCAGTATGAATTCTGAAATGTTGAGTAAGGGAAGAGCTCTGACTGAAGGCTTTCCCACATACCTTACATTCATAAGGTTTCTCACCTGTGTGAGTTCTCTGATGTTCCAGAAGGTTTGAGTGCCAACTGAAAGCTGCCCCACAGTCTTTACACTCAAATGGTTTCTTTCCACTATGAATTCCTTCATATTTAATAATGTCCGAGTTTTGGCTGAAGGCCACTCCAAACTCCTTATATTTATAGGGTTTCTCAAAAGTGTGAATTTTCTGTTGTTCAGTAAGAATGGCACTCCATGTAAAGGCCTTTCCGCATTGCCTGCACTTATAATAAATTCCTCCATCATGATTTCTTCCATGATATATGATATCTGAGCTCTGATTGAAGGCCTTTCCACATTCCTGGCATTCATAAGGTTTCTCTCTAGTGTGAATGAGCTGATGTCGAATAAGATGTGAGTTCTGCCTGAAGGCCTTACCACATTCTTTACATTTATAAGGTTTCTCTCCAGTATGAATTCTGAAGTGTTGAGTGAGGGATGAGTTCTGGCTGAAGGCTTTCCCACATACCTTACATTCATAAGGTCTCTCACTAGTGAGAATTCTCTGATGTTCCATGAGGTTTGAATGCCAGATAAAGGCTGTTCCACAGTCACTATACTCAGACGGTTTCTTTCCACTGTGAATTCCTTCATATTGAGTAATGGCTGAATTCTGGCGGAAGACCTCCTTCAACTCCTTACAGTCATAGGGTTTATCACAAATTTTAATTTTCTGGTGTTCAGTAAGAACTGAGCTCCACATAAAAGCTGCTCCACATTGCCTATACTTAGAATGTTTCTCTCTACCATGAGTTCTTCCATGATTGCTAATGTCTGAATAGTCAGTGAAAGCCTTTCCACATTCTCCACATTTATAAGGATTCTCTTCTGAACAGATTCTCTGATTTTGAATAAGAAATGAGTTCTTGCTAAAATCCTGTCCACCTTCCAAATCACAGGGTTCGTTTCTCTGATACTGATTAAAGAGTGTATAGTAATGGGAGAGATTCCCACATTGATTATAATCCCATGATCCTTTGTGCATGGGAACGTTCTGATTAAAGTTTTTACCAAAGTCAGTACATTCACGGCTTCCCTGCTCAGTGGGATTCTTCTTAGGGAGGACAGTCGGCTCGCAGAAACCTGTTTCTTGGGAAAGGACTTTCCTTGGAGTCTCTCCTGCAGGGTTTCCCATTTGCTTCCACAATGTGATCTCTTTGGCAGGACCCTCCCACAATTCTTTCCTTGGACCCTCCTGTGCAAGGTTTCCCAATTGCTTCCATAACATGATATCTTCCACAGGACACTCCCAAAAGTCTTTGCTTGGAGTCTCCCCTGCAACATTTCCCATTTGTTTCCATGATGAGATGTCTTGGACAGGACTCTCCCAAAATACTTTCCTTGGAGTCTCCTCTGTTACGTTTCCCATTTGTTTCCATGATGAGATGTCCTGAACAGGCCATTCCCAAAATTCTTTCCTTGGAGTCTCTCCTGCAAGGTTTCCTATTTGCTTCCATAATGTGATCTCCTGAATAGGACCTTCCCAAAATTCTGAGATCTGGGGAACAACAACGTCCCTTCTGGGGTTTTCCATTAATGTTCTGGATGTTCCTTGTTCTTCTTTATGAAGTGACTCCTCCTGGTTCTCGGTTCCAGTATCCCAGGCTGAAAGACAATGAGAATGAAAATAATTTGCGTTTAAATTGTAGGTGACCTCAGAGAGTTAGGCCACCCCGTATTAGAACGATGACTCTTCCTAGCCCACAGAAACTTGGCAGCCTCTGGAGGTAATGCAAGCACAGGACACACAGAGGGAGGACACAGTCCCACTTATTTGACCACGGTCAGACCACACTGGAAGTTTGAGGTTCAGTTGAAGAAATCCCATTTTAGGAAGGGCACTGATGACCAGGAGTGGGTCCTGAGGAGGGACACCAGGACAGTGAAGGGCCACATGGTCAAATGAGGGTAGGTTGTCTCCCTTTAGTATGTATTCCCAGGACCTAACACAGTATTGGGCACATATTAAGCATGAAATAAATGTTTTTCACTCCTTCATTCACAGCTTGAAAGATCTAGGGACAGTTAGCCTGAAGGACAGAAGACATGGCAGCTGTCTTTGAGGATCTGAGGCCCAGCCACGTGGATGAAGGATTTCCAGGGGTGGGGAACCTGCAGCCTTCAGGTCACATGTGGCCTTCTAGGTCCTCAGGTGCAGCCTTTTGACTGAGTCCAAGTTGGACAGAATAAATCCTTTTCTTAAGGGGATTTGTTCTGTGAAGTTTGGATTCAGTCAAAGGCCGCACTTGAGGACCTAGAGGACCACATATGGTCTTGAGGTCCCAGGTTCCCCAACCCTGGATTAGAGTTTGTCCTCTTGGCTACCAAAGACAGAAATAAGGACAATGGGTGGACGTTGCAAGAGGCAAATCCTGCCTCCCTATAAACATGGAAAACCTTTGGAGCAGCTCAGCCCTCCAGAGTGTGAACGGGCTACTGAGGAAGGAAGCAGGGAGTGGCCCTCACTGGGGGTCTCCCAGGGGGATTTTGGGGTGGACCTCTGAGGCCCCTAACAGTTTCTAGGCCCTCCTCTTGTGTCCTCACTGACCCGGGGGCAGCCTCTCTTTCTAGGGATGAAGAAGCTGAGGCTAACACAGGTGACCAATGTGGCCATGACAGGTTAGTCCCAGGGCTGGGACCAGGCCTCAGGCCTGGCCTGCTGACTCCTACCTCTGTGCCCTTCCCATTGAGCCATGGGCCTGACCACATGGAGAAGGAGCAGTCTGCCCTGGGATGAGGATGAAGGGATGGACAATGGGACTGATGAGGAGAGTCCTGGCATGGGCCCTTTTCATTTAGAGGTGATGGAGAGAGACGTGGTAAGGGGGCTGGTCAGAGGGAGCTGGCCCAGCGGGCAGGAGGGGCCCCCAAGGGAGGGGGCAAGGACACTGTGAGGGCAGCCGGGCCAGCTCGTCACAGAAGGAGGGGACGACCCCGGCTACCATCGATGGCCCAATCACTCACCTGACCGACAAGCCCGTTTTGAGGGCCCGCCCTGTGTCAGCACGGGGACACAAAAAGGAAATGGTCCCTGCCCTCCAAGAGCTTCCACTCCATGGGAAGAGAACACATACATGTGGACAAATACACCAAGTAATTGGGGGGGGTGGGGTAGGCCCAGGCAGCTGGGGCATCTGGCTGAGCCTTGGGTAGGAGGTGGCCCATGAGCTGAGGAATCAGGACTCCTAGGACACACAGGGAAAGAGGGAGGGCATCCCAGGCATGGGGTACAGCCTGTGCAAAGGCATGGCGATGTGACCCTGGGAGAGGAGCAGCAAGGAGGCCAGTGTGGCTGGCCTGAAGAGGGCATGACGAGGAGGGATGTGTAAGATCTGGGGAAAGGCCTTAATGCCACAGAGCAGTCATGGCATCCTAAAGACCCCAGGGAGCCACAGCAGCTCACTGAGCAGGGGTGTGACCTGGTGAGCCTTGGGCTTTAGAAATGCTGATAGGCCAGCAGTGGGAGGGACCTCTGAGAGGCAGAACAGCATTGAGAGACCACTTTTTAAACACCTCTCATTTTACCAGTAAGAAAACTGAGGACGAGAGGGTACTGGTCCATCCCCTCCAGGGCACACACCGAGTTATCCCGTGTGTGCACTGAGAAGACCCAGAGCGATCTCTCCATGAGCCTCAGGCTTTGGATTTCCCAACCCTCACCCTCAAAGACTGGGGAGGGGGTTGGTAAATCAGCAGCAGCACATGCCCCTGGGGACCCTCCAGACCCCACCTGCACCATCCCACACTCCAGAGAAGGCCATACCTGAGGGCCCAGCAGGGCTGTGGCATCCACTGGCTCCTCGACACCTGGCAGAAGTGTCTCCTTCCCAGGGACAGGGGCTCCTGGGGCCCTCTCCCTGCAGATCTGAGGCTGATGGCTCTTCCCCCTGTTCCAGCCAGGAGACCAGGTCTGGTTTGTCCTCTTTTAGCCCTGCCCATGGGAGGAAAGGAGATAGCTCTGTACGGGGGCGGGGTAGGGTGGTGGGGGTGGTGGAAGGAGGTTCAGCTGTGACTGCCCAAGGATGGTGGAGGAAGAGAGGCAGATTTTACCTATTAGTTGTAGTTTTTTAGTTGCCTCAGTCATGTCTGACTCTTCATGACCCCGTAGGTGGTTTTCTTGGCAAAGATACTGATCTGTTATTTCCTTCTCCAGATCATTTTCCAGATGAGGAAACTGAGGCAAACAGGGTTAAGTGACTCGCCCAGGGTCACACAGCTTGTATCTGAGGGCACATTTGAACTCAGGTCTTCCTGACTCCAGGCCCAGTGCTCTATGTAGTATGGCACCACTGAGAGGCCCGATTTTACCTATTTGTAGCAACTGGCTAAAGTCAAGGTCTGAATCAGTTAATCCACAATTAAGCCTTCCTCTGGAGTTCTCTCCTTTCAGCTCTGGAACTCACTCCTCATCCCTGCCCTCGGCCCCTCCTCTGAATGGGGAGGAGAGAGACTTCCAGAGCCTCCAGCTAAGGTGGGTCCGGGTCAGTCATCCTTTCACTTCTCACTGAGCTGTGCCCCGGGCATGCCTCTGTACACACACAGCAGGTGAGGCACACCAAGAAAGACTTCACATGAGGAGGCTTACCTACGTTGAGCTTACAAGGTAACGAAGGCTTCTGAGAGGCAGAACTGGGGAGGGGCTGGGGGAGGCAGCCCTCGGAGATGGAGAGGGGTCTGGGTGAGCAGCCACTTATCAGGGAGGTTTGGTAAGGAGGGTGCCCCCCAAGCAACATCTCTTCTAGTGACACTGTCATTCACAAGAAGCTTTCTCCAGACTCACAATGGCCTCATTTAATAATAGTTTACATTTATATAGCTCTTTTGAGTTTTGCAAAGTGCTTTGTATATATTGACTCATTTTATCCTCAAAACAATCCTGGAAGGAAGGTGCCACTGGTGGGCCCATTGCACAGATCAGGAAGTTGAGGCAGATAGAGGGTAAGAGACTTGCCCAGGGTCACCCAGGCAGAGAGTCTCAGGCTGGATTTGAACTCAAGTCTTCCTGTCTCCCTCCAGGTCCAGTGCTCCGCCCATTGCACCACCAAGTGCCTGGTTTCTTTTGTGTTTGCCTCTACCCCTCATGTAGTTATTTTTGACTACACATTTCCCAAAAGCACAGATCTACAAGGTACCCCCTTCCAGTCTGGCCTGCTGCTACACGCTGTTTTATCCAGTAAGAAATTGTTTTCCTACTCAATATAAATCGAATCTCTCTCGTCAGTCTCTGTGTGTGTGGTGTGTGTGTGTGTGTCTCTCTCTGTTAGTCTTGTGTTTCTCTGTCTCATCAGCCTCTCTCTGTTTGTCTGTCTCTCTCTTCCAGCCTCTCTGTCTCTTTGTCTGTCAGTCTCTCTTCTCTGCCTCTCTCTCTCAGTCTGTTTCTGTCTCTCTGTGTCTCTGTCAGTCTCTCTTCTCTGCCTCTCTCAGTCTCTGTTTCTGTCTCTCTGTGTCTCTGTCAGTCTCTCTTCTCTCTCTCTCTGTTTGTCTCTGTCAGTCTCTGTGTGTCTCTCTCTCTATTACTATATGTTCCCAATCTCTCCACCCTTTTGTGCTCCTCTCCCTCGCCTCTCTCTGGCTTCCAACTTCGTCAGCCAACTCAAACCCCCTCTCCAGTTACCAATGATTTCCCAACCTCCAAACCTAGGGGTTCATGCTTCCTCTTCCTTCCCTGCGGGTGCTCCCCGAGCCACCAGCCCTCCATCTAGCAGCCACTGGCCCTGTCCTAGAGCCCGGCTCCTACACCCGACCCGACGCGGCTCCCACCCCCGGCCAGCGCGCAGGCCCTTGCCCCGTCTGCCCGGCCATCGGCCACAGCCTCCCCTCTTGGAAGCACCGCCCATTCTGGGCAGTCCATCAGTTGGTCGGTCACCCTGTGGAGGTACAAAGAAGGCAAAAACAAGCCCTGCTCGGGAACCCCTGGGACCCTAACAGCTCCGTACAAAGAGTCCATGGGGATGGTGCAGAGGGACAGCATCATCATTACTTCTGGCAGAGCCTGGGACTTCGGCTGAGGCTTGAAGGCAGTCAGGGAAGCGAAGAGCGAGACTTCTGGACATGGGGGCAGAGTCCGGGCTGGGGGGCGGACGCGCATGAGGCGTAACCGGGAAGGGAGGAGTGGCCAGGCCAGGAAGGGCTCTGAATGCATCGGACCCTGGGGGTGGCTGGGGTGCTAGAGCCACCGAATGGGGGTGAGCGGTCATCCCTGCGCTTTGGAAGATCAGGTGGTGGGGGAGAGGGGGCGAAGGAGACTCCCGCAGGGAGAGCGAGCCGCCGACTATTGCAATAGTCTGGATGGGAGGCCAGGGGGAGGCGCGTACAGAGACTCTGAGGACGTAGAAAGGACAGACTGGGAGGCCCTGAGGGTGACCTCGAGGCGGGGAAGAGGAGAGGATTGGGGAGGAAAGGGAGCGAGCTTGATTTTGGACAAGCTGAGCTTAAATGTCTATGAGACTTCCAGCTGGAGATGTCCGCTAAGGCAGCAGAAATGAGACTGGAGGCCACGACAGAGGTTAAGGCTGGACGATCGTCTGCACAGAGATGATCGTGGAATTCAAGGGAGCCCAGGAGATCACCAAGTGAAAATGACTCCAGGGTCTAGGACAGAGCATTGAGGGACGCCTGTGGTTAACAGGCAAGACCGGGCTCAAGATCCAGCCAAGGGGGGGGTGTCAGAGAGAGAGGAGGGGGAGGAGGAGAAGGAAGAGAGAGAGAGGGGGAGGGAAGGAGGGAGAGGAGGGAGAGAGGGAGAGAGAGAGAGGAGACAGAGAGAGAGACAGAGACAGACAGCCACACACAGAGACAGAGAGAGGAAGGCAGAGAGGAGAGAGAGAGAGAGAGAAACAGAGAGAGAAAGGGAGGGAAGGAGGGAGAGGAGGGAGAGAGAGAGAGAGGAGACAGAGAGAGAGACAGAGACAGAGAGCCACACACACAGAGACAAAGAGAAAGGGAGAGAGGAGGGAGAGGGAGAGAGAAACAGAGAGAGAGAGGGAGGGAGGGAGGGAGAGGAGGGAGAGAGAGAGGGAGGAGACAGAGACACACAGAGGGAGAGAGAGAAGGGACACAGAGAGAGAGAGAGAGACTTAGAGAGTGGGGAAAGGGGAGGAGAGAAAGGGGGCAGGTCCTGGAAACCTAGAGGAGGAGGAGGAGAGGGTGATCTCCAATGTCTAAGGCTGCAAAGAAGTCAAGAAGGATGAGCCCAGCTTCTGATGCCTGCCCACAAATAACTGTTAGGTATACAGCACTGGACCTGAAGTCAGGAAGACGAGTTCAAATCCAGCCTCAGGCACTGTAAGCTGTGTGATCCTGAGCAAGTCACAACCTCTGCCTGCCTCAGTTTTCTTATCTGTAAAATGGGGACCATAACGGCACCTACTTGCCAGCGTTGTGAGGATCAGACAGACAGCATTTGCAAAGTGCCTTTCAAGCCTTAGAGCACTCTATAGAGGCTAGCTTTCACTATTATTATCATTATTGTTATTGCCATGGGTCCCTATTGTTCCCCCAAAAGGAACCCAAGTTTCCTGAGGGCAGGGCCTGGTCCATGGTGGTCTTTCTGTCACCACAATCTGTTAACTGGTTTACAAAGGGCTTTCCAGATTGAGGGATGTCCATCAATTGGGGAATGGCTGAACAAGTTGTGGTATATGAATGTGATGGAATACTATTGTGCTATAAGAAATGATAAGCAGGCAGACTTCAGAAAAACCTGGAAAGATTTCTATGGACTGATGCTGAGTGAAGTAAGCAGAACCAGGAGAACGTACACAGTAACAGCCACGTTGCATGATGACTAACGTTGATAGACTTAGCCCTTCTCAGCAATACAAGGATCTAAGACATCTCCAGAGGCCTCATGATGGAAGATGCTGTCCACATCCACAGAAAGAACTATGGAGTCTGAATGCAGATCAAAGCCTACTATTTGCTATTTTTTTCTTTCTCACGTTTTCCCCTTTTGTTCTGATTCTTCTTTTACAACATGACTCATGTGGAAGTATGTTTAATATGATTCTATATGGAGAACTACATCAGATTGCTTGCCATTTCAGGGAGGATGGAGGGGAGGTGGGGGGCGGAATCGGGAACTCAAAATCTCCTAAAAGTGAATGTTGAAAACTAAACAATAACAAAACTGAAGAGGCTCCAGGCTGCCCCACAAAGCCTCCTTCCCCATTTAGGAGGTTTGTGCTTTCTAGCACCTGCATCTCCCAGCCTCCGTCTCCCAGCCCTTCCCAGAACGACCTGACATCGGCTGCACACGGAGGTGCCCGCAGGGCCCGCCTCAGTAGGGCGGCGGGGAAGGGCGCTCACCTCTGTTCTTTGGGAGTCAGCGTCACCCTTCAGGAGACACATTTTGTTGACATCTTGTTTTTGTATAAATACTTTCCCTTACACGTCTGTCCACTCCCTCGCCTCAAAAAAAAAAAAAAAAAGGAAAAAACATTTCAGCAAAACTAACCAAGCCACAGACAACATCTGACATTCCACAACCGCGCTCCCACACCTCTGAGTGGAGGTCAGGGAGCCGGGCCTCTGGGGTGAGGGTGACTCAAGTCCAGGCTGTTACTAAAGGAAACAAAAGGGCAGCTTCAATGGGGGAAGGGCATTTGAGGTGGAGGAGGGGAGACACGCCCCGCAGGAGGCAGGAGAGTGGCTGCAGAGCAGAGGAGAGTTACCCAGAGCTGAAAGGAGAGCTGCACAACTAGAGCTTAGAAAGAGGCGTGAGCTCTCCTGGAAGGAGATGAGGATGATGACGGTCTTCACTACTCCTCCTCCTCACTAGCACTTGGGGAAATGCTTCCAAGTTTGCAGAGCACCTTAAAGTCTGATCTCATTTCATCCTCACAATAACCCTAGGACGCAGCAGCTGTTACTATCCCCATTTTACAGATGAGGTTTAATGACTTGCCCAGGGTCACCTAGCTAGGAAGTGTCTGAGGCTGGATTTGAACTCAGGTCTTTCTGACTCCAGAAGCTCGGAGGAAGAAGCTGCTGGTCCTCCAAAGAATGAATCCACAGGTGAGAGATCATCTGGCCAGGACCAGGGAGGGAGAGAAGCGGGGGAGCAGTTAGTGATTCTCTGTTGGGGCACTGAGGCAGCGTCCTTCTGTCCCCTGGACAACAACCCAGGGAGGTGCCGGGCCCCTCCCAAGACTCTCCCCAGGGGCGCAAACGCCAGAGGCGGCCCCCAAGAGCAGTGAAGACCAAACGCACACACACACACCGGCGTTATTTTCCGTACTTTTCCCATTGAAAATATGGGAGAAAAAGAAAACAATCATTTGGGAAGTCCCCTGCTGCCTACGGGGTCTCTGGGGCCGTGGCCTACAGGAACAGGGTGGTGGAGACCCCAGCGAAGCCTGGGGAGAATGGCTACATCTGGCCTGGTGTCGAGCAGACCCAGTCAAAAGGGTCTTCAACTAAAAACAATGAGGGAAAGAGAAGGCTATCCAGGCATAAGGGAATAAAACCCATGACCCAAAGCATCTCCCCTCTGGCCCCTCAACTGGAGCAAGAAGCCCCCAGAGAGGCACAGAGGTTCTGACGGGAGGCAAAGTGACTCTGGAGCTGAGGCTCGGTGGGAAGGGACTGTGGCCTGGACTACGGTTCGGCAGAGGTTTCCCTTATTCAAAAGTGACAGGAGACAGAAAAAGTGGGATGGGGTCACGTCACACACTTAGAAAGTAGAGTCAGGTAGGGGCATCCAAGAAGCAGAGGAGGGAAACACGACGGAGTACTTGGGCAAAGCTCAATGGATGGAGAAACAAGCACTTTGATCACTGTAGAATATACTATAGACCACCTGGACAGAAGGAAGAAACAGATGAGTCTGGAACACAGTGGATGACAGAGAAGTGATGGAGTCTTGGATTACATAGACGTCTGCTGGAGCTCACTCTGTGTCTGTCTGCCTGTCTCTCCCTCCCTTTCTTTCTCCTCATCAGCACCCCACCTTCCAATGGTCTCCCTTCCCCCCCTTTTTCTCTTTCTCATTCTCTCTTTCTCTCCCTCCCTCCATTCCTCTCTTCCTCTCTTCTCCTTCCTTCCTTCCTCCTTCCCTCCCTCCCCTGTGTCTGTCTCATTTATCCCCCATGCCTTGAACATCCTCTCCTCTGACCCCTGCTTCTTAATTAGTATTTCAAAACTAACCTCAAAGACCACCTTCTGCGGAAAGTGTTTCCCAGCTGTTTTGAAGATTTGGGGGTCTGAGGGGCCTGCCAGCTCCAGAGGAGTCAGGGGCGCACCGTGGCTGCCAAAAGTGTTCATGAGACCTTGGGCTACATTAAGAGAGGGGGCGCTTCCAGGAGGGAGAGGGGACGGTCCCCTTGGACACACTCTGCCCTCAGCAGACCTCACCTGGAGGACTGGGGTCAGTCTTGGGGACTGTGGCTTAAGAAGGACATTGAGAAGACGGGGCATGTCCACCCAGAGGACGGCCGCCAGGAGACCACATGAGGATGGGTGGAAGGACCACAGGCTTTCATGGGGATTCCCTTCAGGGATGGGCAGGAATCAGTGACCTCTGGGGGCCCTTCCAACTCTGGGACCACAGCAGGATCTCCCTAACTGCCTTGGCAGCACCAACAGCCACGTTTCCCTCCCCCCAGAGGGCCAGAGGCCACACCATCCTGGAGCCCCAGACCAGAAGAGACATCCCCCAGCCCTGGGCCCAGGGGAGGAGACCTTACCCAGGGACACCAGGTTCCTGTAGTTCTCCAGCATCACCTCCTTGTACAGCTGCCACTGAGCAGGGCTCAGGCACCCCCATTCCTCCTCGGTAAAGTCCACGGCCACGTCCCTGAACGACACCGCTTCCTGCAACACCAAACATATGCCTGCTGGCCCGGGGGGCACTAGACCCCAGGGGGAGGCAACAGGAGGTGGGCCTCTGTGGGCAAGGCTTTGTGCCTTGGCTTCCTCACTCTGAAAACCAGGGGCTTGAACCAGACCACCTCTGAGGACCCTTCCAGCTGTCCACCTACGCTCCTCTCAGCCCAGACACCGCCCTGGGAGCCCCAGGGAGAAGGGCCCCCGATGGTGAGGAAATCGATCTGAGGGAGTGGGGCCCTACGCCCTATAGCAAGCTGGGGAGGCAGGGGTGGTGTGCAGGCTCTGCTGGGACCCTCTTCTTGGAGGCTGGACCAGATGGCCTCAGGGAAGGAGGCCTCTGAGCAGGCCTGCAGCCGGGCGGCTTGCCAGCCTTGTCTATGGTGATTGTCATGACTGACCGCCAACCCCAAGAAGCCCCTGAGGACTCGGGAGCAGCAAGGAGCAGTCTGGGAGCCTGGAGGACAGTCCTGGAGCAGGAGGAGCCCCTGACTCACCTGGTCTGGGGCCAAGGGGACCCCGGGGGACCCGCCATGCTCCTCCGGGCTTCCCTCAAGGGGAAGAAGGAGATTCAGAGCCATGAGACCTGACACCTGAGGGGGGAGAGAGGAGGCTGTGTCAGGGAAAGAACTGGCCTTTCAGCCCCTGCTGGCCTGGCGAGGACCGGCTGCCTGTGGGGTAATGACCCACGTCCCAGGCCCTATACACACACATACACACACACACACAAATGCACATATACACATATGTGCAAACACACACGCATACACAAATGTGCAATCACACAGGCACACATCACAGAGCCCAGGCATTCCCGATGCCAGGCTCCTCAGAACAGAGTGACCGCGGGGCAGGCATCGTGACCCACGCAGGTGCTTCCTGTCCAGGTCAGGAAGGACCATGGAGCTCGGACCCCACCTGAAGATGAGGGTGCTGCAGGCCCCTCCCCCACAGAACCTTTGCAGTCCCTTTGCTCAGAATAAAGATCTGCCTTTTACTTTTACTTTGCTCATGGGGGCGGAGGAGGGGGATGAGAAGCTGATTAATTGAAAAAACTTATTACTTGAAAAATCAAAATAATAAAGTGTTACAGAGCCAGGAGGCAGGGGCTCTCCTCAGGGGGAGGACTTGGGGGTGTCCCCGTGGGGGCAAAGAGGCAATGAAGAAAGACCACGAGGGCTGCCGCCGGGCAGCCGGGAGCCCTGAAATGTGACCGCAAACTGGCAGCGAGGGGGCGGGGCGGGGGAGACATGGGGGCGGGGGCACTGAGTGGATTTGGAAGTGGGCCAAGGGAGGCCCTAGCGGAGGAGAAGGGCTGGGAACCCAAGAAGGGGGGAGGGAGAAATGGAAGCGGGGTGTCCAGCCTGGGGAAGAGGCGGGGTCCCTGGGAGCCCCAAGGCGAGGAGGGGGACCCCCTCTAGTCCCGGGGGTCCCCTTGCTGCCTCCTCCAGCAGAAGGGGAGAGGTGGCTGGTCTGGGGAGTGTGGGCAGGGGCGGCTCAGTGGGGCCCGGAGGGGACCTCCTCAATGGGAACTGTGGGCTGCGGAGACCCCGGCCCAGCGCGAGGTGGTTTGTTGTAGGCATTCACAGAAGGGGTCCTGCCTGCCCAAGGGCTCCGCCACACACGTACGTCTGCACACACACAATGTACACTTACATACTAGCGCAATACGTACACATGCATACACATGCGCACACACAACGTACACATGTACACTTACACCTAGTGTGCACAAACATACACATGTATGCACACATATAATGCACATTTACACCTGGTAAGCACACAGACACATACATGCATACACACATGCACACACAACACACCTAGTGTACACACGTGCAGAAGCATGCACACGCGTGTACACTTATACCTAGTGCGCACACATATGCATGCATGCATACAACTCACACAACACACACTTACACCTAGTGCGCACAATACACATGCATACACACGAGTACACACAATGCACACACGTGCTCACTTACACCTAGTGTGCACACGTGCAACTAGTGCAATACACATGCATACACACAATATACACAGAACGCACACTTACAGTGCGCACACATACACATGCATACACATGTGCACACATAATGCACACACATGCTCACACCTAGTGTGCACACTTACAACTAGTGTACACATACACATGCATGCATACACGCGTGCACACACGTGCACGACGCACACACACGTGCGGTTAAGGAGCTCTGCTGCACAGGGTCCAGGGGCTCCCCGAGGACACCCAGCGCCCCCGGGGCGGCCCGGGCTGAGGGGTGGAAGCACTTGATGAAACAGGGAGTGACCTTCCCCACCCCTCAGGGATGTCAGGGGACACGCTGACCAGTGGCAAGTCTGGAGGAAGGCTCCCTGTCCCTTCCACACCCACACCCCCCTCCCCCAAGCCCCCGGGAGGGGCTGCGGGCGGGGGTCTGTAGGACAGGGAACTCCCAGGGGAGGAAACTCCCTCTGCCACCGCAGCTGCGGCCCCTGGATGACCAGTCACAGGCTCAGCAAGAGGGGGGTGGGGGTGGGGTCAGAGGCAGCACTTGAACCCAGGTCCGCGGTACTCCCAGGGGCCCCTGTCCCCCGCCCCAGTGACAGACGCAGCCTGGGGACAGGACCCCCCCCCCAGGCGCCCAGTCTCACACACACATACCTCTACACAACCCACGGTGACACACAACCCACCCTCGGACACACCACCGAGCCCACGCCACGCCAGTGGGCACACACGCGATGCATCCCAGTCACATCATGCTTGCGTGCACACAAAGACACACGGGGACACACAGACACAATGACAAACCCTCACACCCTCTCTGCCTCCCCGCCCCCGGGGCCCGTGACGTCACACACCCCTCCCCCTCCCTGCGGGCCCGTGACGTCACGCACCTCCGCGCCCTCTCGCAGTTCTGGAAGCTCCCGCGGCGGCGGCTTCGCGCTGGCTCGCCCCGGTGGATCTGCGCCTGCGCGCCCGGAGCTCGGCCCGCGGCCGGGTACAAAGGCAGAGATGCACGCGGAGGCCTCTGGGAAACCCCGTCGGACAGCTCCGCGCGCAAGCGCAGACCCACTCTAGATGACCCGGCCCAGGGGGATCGGGCCGCAGAAGGGGGCGAGGCCTCGGGCGCGCATGCGCCCCTCGCCTCCTCGTCCTCCGGTGTGTCATTTCCCTTTGAGAGTGTCCGTGGACACGCGTGTGACCGAGAGGTGCGTGTGTGTCACTGCCTCAGAACCCGTGTGTTTGTATGGAGCTGTGCAAGTCGGGAGCCCCCACCCGGGGAGCCCGGCTCAGCGGGGAGCCTGAGAAGAGCCCCCCCCGCGCATTGGTCTGTGCCCCGCCTTGGAGGCGCGCTATTGGTCGGGATGGGACGGAGGGCGTGGCCTAGGAGAGCCGGCGGCCGTGTGGGCTGCGGAGGGGCGGGGCGGGAGAGGCACAACTGGCCGGGGGCGGGTCCCCGCGGTCCCCGCGATCCCTGCGTCCCCCCGCCGGGCTTTGGGCTCTGCCCTTCCCAATGGGGGGGGTCGGGAGGGCGCTCCCCCGCCTCTCAGGAACGCCCCCTTTGGCCCCCGCCTCCCCCCGTTTGGGCTCTGCCTCTCTCAATGGGGGGTCGGGGGGGTGCTCCCTCCCCTCTCAGGAACGCCCCCTTTGGCCCCCGCCTCCCGCCGTTTGGGCTCTGCCTCTCTCAATGGGGGGTCGGGGGGCGCTCCCCCGCCTCTCAGGAACGCCCCCTGTGGCCCCCGCGCCGGCCCCGTCATTGAGCACGAGCGGTGCGCCGCTCCACAGCTCGGGGGCCCCAGAAAGAGCTGTCCCCCCGCCCCCGCCCCTTTTGAGGGGTTTATGGGGGGTATGGTGAAGCACGCTTTCATCTAGAATACGGATGGACTTTACACAGAATGGGAGCGGGCAGGTGGCGTGGTGAGCCCCGTATCTGCTGCTGCGACCCCGGGAATGGATGAGGACGAGCCCGGTGCCCGCAGGATGGGGGGTCGGCCCCGCATCTGCTGCTGCGACCCCGGGAATGGATGAGGACGAGCCCGGTGCCCGCAGGATGGGGGGTCGGCCCCGCATCTGCTGCTGCGTCCCCGGGAATGGATGAGGACGAGCCCGGTGCCCGCAGGATGGGGGCATCGCGTGAGACGCGATAGGAGGAGGGGTTAGCATTTGAAGCCTGGCAGAACTTTGAAGTCAACAACTTGGGGAAATGTGGACCCTAACCCTGGAGCTGCTTCTTGATTACGGGACCCATGGCTTAGCGCTGAGAACAGAATTCGGTTGATAACCATCAGATGAGTAAGGCGTCTTCCACTCCATGGGCCAGGACTGCCCACGGAGGCCGCCGCCCCCCCTCACCGCCTCTTAGTTCCCAGAAGGAGCCTGGGGGCGTCCCCCGAAGCTGGGGAGAATGAGAGGGGAGGGGAGAGCCTTCTCTCCGTCGGTCACCTGCGCAGAGGCTGGATTGCTCTGTCGGGCTCCCCGCTGCCCCTGCTGCCGAGAGGAGGGGTAACTGAGGAGCCTACGCGCTTCACCAGCCCCTTGGATGCCCAGAGGTGCGGAGGAGAAGAATCCTTCCATCGCGGCGGGGCCCCTCTCGGCAGGGCCTGGGAGGCCCTTGGCCCTCAGTCAGCAGAAGGGCGCTGCCTTTTCTTACTTCAGCTGAGACTGAAGCTGAAAACGACAGATGCGAGAGCTCGGGGTGGAGGAGTGAGCCCGGGGGAGTGGAGGAATAGCAGAGGCGAGTAGCGTAAAAGGAGCTGAGACGCTGTGCCCAGGAAGGCACCGGTCTAGCGCGCCATGGGTCACCTCGGCTTAGCGATGGGCACGTACGGTCGGCACCGAAGCCACGGCCACAGAAAACTTGTGTGCACGGTTTCTGGGACAGAAAGATGATAACAAAGTCTCCAATTCGAAGCTGTTGGTCTCCCTGACTTCTTCGCTGTGCCTTACCACGCAGGAACTTGGCGGGAGTGTCTGCTGTCTCTCATGGACGCTACGTGCCCTGTGTGGGAGGGTGTGATCCAAAAGTATGGGTTGGATATTATGTAAATACATATTTGCTTTACATTGTCATTAAATATTTTGTTTAAAGTTGATTGAATGTTAGTGGCCGATTTGCTCTTGGGAAATATGCTAGTGTGTGCGCATCAGCTGCACTGTTAGGACCTGCTACTCAGTAAGCTTCCCCTTTAACTCTAGAATAAAATAATTCATTTCTATTTTACCCATTCATTTTTTTTTATTTTGTGGGACCACAGTCCCCTCTGGCTATTTAACAGTTAAAAAATTTGAGCATGAACCCTCAGTATGTATGTATTTACTTATATACATAAATATCAAGTCAAATCAAGAAGTGTTTATTTAGCATTTACTACTTCAGGCACTGTGCTAAGCACTAGCAATGTAAACGGTGGTTGTCCTTTGTCTTCAGGGGACCAAAATGACGTCACTATGTCTGAGTCCAGGTGTGGTGTGTCCGATTGGCTGATCAGATCCGTAAGAGCTTGGAAGGCCCTACCGCAGGTCGGGCACAAATAGGCTGTGTGAACATTTGGAGTGGAGATGCCTCTAGATTTGAGCATCTCATTAATTCGGCTTTGCTGCTACAGCACAGCACCTTCTTTGAGGAGGGCACACCGTGCTGGGCGGTCCTTTGCCCACGTCTCCCAGGTCTCCCAATCGATTCCAAAGTTCTTCAGAGGAACATGGAGAGTGTCCTTGTACCACTTTTTCTGACCGCCATGTGGGTGCTTGCCTCGTGTGAGATCTTGGTAAAATAGTCTTTCAGACAAATGCCTGTTTGGCGTTTGAATAACATGACCAGCCCATCAGAGCTGCACTCTCTGCAGAATAGCTTGAATGCTTGGCAGTTCAGCTGGAGAAAAGACCTCAGTGTCTCGAACCTTATTTATCCGGCCAGGTGATCTTCAGAATCTTCCTGAGACAACTCAAATAGAAGTGATTTGGTTTCCTGGCATGATTCTGGTAGACTGTCCAGGTTTCACAGGCATACAACAATGAGGTCAGCACAACGGCTCTGTAGACCTTCAGTGTGGTAGGCAGTCTAATACCACTTGTCTCTCTCACTTTTCACGGGAGCCTCCCAAACACTGAGCTAGCTTTGGCAATGCATATATAAACCTTATCATTTATGTCAGAGGTTCCCAAACTTATTTGGCCTACTGCCCCTTTTTTAAAAAAAAAAAATTACTCAGTGCCTCCCCTGGAAATCTTTCTTTAACCCTTTAATGTTTTTTTTGAAATTTGCATAATTTCAAAAATAATAATTTTTAAATGACACACTTTAAGTTTAATTATTGTAAATTTGTGGGGGATTTACCTGCATTGAAATTTTGATGATGCAATATTGCATCATGTAACTGTATAGTATCATATTGTAAACAAGTCATTACACGCACATATTCCTGCCAATGCATGCTAGACTTCCCAAAAATTCGTGACAAGCTCACCTGCCAATACTTGCTTGTTAAGACCTGTAGGTGGACTTGACCACTTATCAGTTATAACTTGCCTTTTGTGTGTTTATTTGGAAAATAATATACTCACTACGACTAACTGTTACACTACAGATGAAACGTGTATGAACAGTTTTTTCAAAATTTTCTTCTCTTCTTTCCTTATGCTTCCACCACCCCCTTATTTTTATTCAACACCGCCCTGGATCATTCCACCCCCCAGGGGGTGGTATCACTCACTTTGGGAACCTCTGATTGTGAACATCCTTGGAAAGTATACTGTCAAGGTAAGTGAACTTACAGTATTCAAAATTTCTCCATTTGCTGTAATCAATGGTTCCACGTATGAATGGTGTAGTGCTGGGTGGTGGAAAAACTGTTTTCTTGGTGTTAGGCCAAAATTAGCACAAGCAGCAGGGAATTGATCCATACTTTGTTGTATCTCAGCCTCAGCAGCTGCATCCAATGTGCAGTCATCTACGAACAGAAAGTCGTGCATCAACTCTCCCTCCACTTTAGTCTTGGCTTGTAGGCTTTTCCATCAGTGCAGCAACTGACCTTGATGCTGCTTTCATTCTCATTTAAGGTGTCTGACAACATCACACAAAACATCATGCCAAAAAGCATGGGAACAAACTCACAGCTTTGCTTCACTGCATTCATGACTGGAAAAGTATGAGAGCATCATCTATCATCCAGAGGCCATGTAAGCCTGCCATCATGAAGCTAATGCAATAATGCTATACAAATAAAAGAATAAGAAAGACAGCAGTTTGGAGAAATAGTGAGTCCTTCCCTGATGGGGTGGTCTTTGGGCTTGCTTAAGACTATGCTATGGTTTGCTTGCTTCTGGATGTTGGACCTAATCTGTTTCAATTTTTCTATTTTATAGCTGGTACAAAATTATTATTTTATTTTATTATTATCCCATCCCTGGAAGAGTTGTTGGTGTGGGTACCACACCTCCCTCATCTCTAGACCTGGCTGGTCGATAAACTGATTCTCGGCACCCACTGTTCTCATTACTCCTGTGACCAACATAGAGATGAATGAGCAGAAAATTCTTCCCAAACACTGTCCTCAGCAGCCTTTCTCTTGAGTCTTTTATCGAACTTGCTCATGGGATATCCTCTAGGAAGCGTGACTGCTTTCCCACCATTTTAGCACATTACTGACGTTGCCCAGTTCCCTCCTAACTCTCTCCATCCTTGAAAGAGCTAAAGGAAACCTGAGGTAGAATGAAGGCTGCTTGAAGGCAAGCCTTCTTTCCTCCATCTGCACTTGTAGAGTGCACTGGACACTCATTCAGCATCATATTCAGTAATATCAGTATAAAAAATATAATCATATTTTTACATTTAGCAAGGCTCCTTGGAGTGGGGAATTTCCTACATCCAAACAACACCAATCACCTTCTGGGTTATTCCTCTCCCACTGTCCATCACCTCTGCACTCACAGGCCAGTGAACTGGT